ATCGGGATTCATGTCATGTCCTATTCCCTAATCACCTTCTCGTGCTGCCTCTTCTCTTTTGGGGTACAAAAAGATATGGGGAAATCAGGGGAGATGGCAGACGTGCAGGCAGAAATTCCTTTCTTCCTGGGGACAGTTGCTCTCCTCTATCATATAATGATAATGACTTTCATTAATCTTCTGTAGGTCTTTCATCCAAGCATTCTTTTCATTCTACATATACAGAAACCATTTAAATGCTACTATATATTAAGCAAAAATGAAAAGTCTTAATATCGCATTTTAAAAATGTCACGAGTAGTAACGCTGTGCAGCACGGTGCCTACAGAGGCTCAACATGACTAAAGAGGCAAGACTGCTGTGCAATAAGTTATCAACTACCCTTTCTAGGCAGTCTCTTACTGAACTTGTTTTCATGTCTCACTCCTTTTTGATCTGACAGTCTCCAGCATGCAAATTTGCACTACAGCTAGGCATTTCAAATGTGCCAGAGGGAAGCAGGGGCCTCACACCTATTGGTAGATTAGTGCGCCTAATGCCCTTTCGCTTTTTTTTAGCATAAAGGCTGATTACTCCATTAGTTGAACAACTAGGAAGAAATGACAAGGAACTAACAAGAGAGTAACACTGTATTTTCTATTTATTTTCTTCCGTTGCAGTAGTGCTAATTAGAACGAGTAGTTCTTGATACAGTGCTTTGGGGAATGCTGATGAGGAGCACACAAAAGACTGAAGTGCCTCTTCTGCACAGCATCGGATGTAGCAAAACACAGCACCCTCTCAACTGCCATTATCTTAATCTCCCGCAGTATCTCAGCATTTGGGACATTATGGTACTTACATATTAGAGGCTGTATATACTGGCTTTCTGAGGTCTAAACCCTTACTTTGGGGGATTAATACCATGTTAACTTGCAACTTATCACAACAAAATATGCTTTCAAGCAGAAGTACAGAGCCTACTTGGTGCTGGTGGGAGGGGAAGCAAGAATTACGTGGGGAATCTGACTTCTGCGCTGATGTGAACTTTGTGCTACCTGTGCGCCCTTTGCTGGCAGGGGAATGGGCAGACCTTGGTGGGGGGTTGTTACTCATCATACAGCACGCCAAAATCTTGTAACCCACCCAATTTCAGCTCTTTGGACATGCTGGCTTGCCCCTTTGGGAAAAAGGGAGAGTGAGAGACTGCTCTAACTTCCAAAATGCCACCAGCAACAGCTTTTCCTTCGAAGATTTTCTCCCCCTCTGAGGCTTCGGAAGGGGTCATGGGGATGAAGGCTCTTTGGGTAGGTCTGCACCTCTTTTCTATTCACCAAGGTTTGATTCTCTTTATGAGCATGATCCGCCAATCCGTAATCAAGGGTTAATTTCACAGCTCACTGCTTCATCTAGCATAATATCCATTCAGACTAATTAAATCTGTCTAATAATGTGAGTGTCTTTGTCTTTGTTCTTTCCATTCTTTGTTTTACACCCTTCACATCTCATCTCCAGAACTACACGCCATCACACTCTGCTTGACAAGCAGAATCCATCCCTAAAATTAAAACATTCCTGACCTATCTGCGATGACAAGGCAAGCAAGCTTCACAGCGCTGCGGCCCATGAAGGGAGCTGACACATTTGTTTTTAATTTCAAAAGAGTAGAAAGTGAAGATCTGACCCTGTCAATCAGGCCCTGTGACAAGTTTAATCATTGCTGCCCCACAAAAATCACGGCTAAATAGGAATGCAAATAATGTATCACAGGGCTCTTATAAATGCTAATCAAGGAGAAGTAATCAACTGACAATTTCACTGATCTCCTTTCTGAAGAAGTCAGTCAACGCACTGTCTCTGGACCACAAAGAAAAGAAAAGACAAAAGGCATAGATGCCGTTTCCCAAAAAAACCTATCCTTTTTCAGGGCTTTCTTTTTCTTTTTTTTTAGAGAAAAACAGAGAATTCACTCTTTTTGATCCTCTACTGAACTTTAAAGCAAAGCTGTTTCTCAGGAACTTGAACAGTTATATGTCAAGTGTACTTTATTAACAGTACCCTCCCAACTCAGAGACAGCACTTGGAAACTCCTGCTAAAATAAAAATCTTCATTTGTCTTTGTCATTCATCCATCTTCAAAATTCTTTTCCATCTTAACAGCTTCTGTCCTCTACGGGCAATATATTTAGTGATATATGAAGTTTTACAAGTGGAAAGCTAATAGTTGAGATCACTTTTTTTTTTAAAATCCTGCTTGGAATTTATTTCAGTGTAAAGGCTGTCTTCAGTACAAGGGTTTTTAACAGACTATCCTTTTATGACCTTTTTAATGTGGTAAAGAACAGACAGTGCAGGCTTAGTTCCAGTCTTTCACACATGAATTCTACATGGCAAAAAGTCATGGCTTAACCCATGTGCAGAAGAGAGAAGGACCCAGAACAGCCAGATGCACAAGATTTGTGATGCCATTTATTATCATTTTTCTGTGGTTTACTCTGGTAAGCTGCGGTTCGCTGTGGTAGGTCCTGATGGAGTCCATCAAGCATTAGAGTTACTGTATTGGCACAAAACAAAAGGATATGATTTGGCCAATGAAACTCAATGCAGGGGAGATGTAAGTAGTATAAAGATTGCTGGAAGAGGTAAAGTTCAAAGAATCTAGTCGTTTGAAGTTTTTTTTTCACTAAACTACTTCCCTGCACCGAGCCAGTATGTAAAATGCAACAAGTAACTGGAGGAGGGCTTCAGCAACAGAGATTTAGACTACCAGCAAGATATTGTACACAGTAGAAAATTTCCACTACTACAAAACCTTCCGCTTTACAGCCCATGACAGTTACCCACAGGATAGATAGAGCAGCAAGAGCAGCTATGTCAAAACATCTTCTCTCAGGCTTCATCTCTCAGGCTGTTAGAGATTAGAGGCTGGCTGCGCCGTAGCCCATCTGGGCTCATAGATTTGCTTTGCTGTGTATGACTGCGGTAACTCTTATTACTGGGGAAGATGCCACCAAATCCTTTTCGTACTGGCCACTGAATCCCCCTCTGAATCACCCTGATTTACAAATGAGCAATGAAAGATGGGAACAATCTTTGGTCACTCCCAAGTTTCCAATTGAAAGAAGCTTTGAGGCAGCAGCAGTAGCTTCTGTGCCAGTTCTGTAAGATATTTGACCTCAAGCTTTCTCATGCAGAGTTTACTGCTAGACAGGGATGCTCCCAGCAGCAAACTCTCCATAAAGGATGTATGTGGAAGGTGGGAGTAAAAAACAGGAAAAGAAATTGAAAAGCGCTTTGCAGTTGTCATGTCACTTAGCAACAAACTTTTCTACTTCACATCAACACTGGCATAGTAGAGAGATTCACAAAGCACACTTGCTGAAATCTGGGGTAAGCAGAGAAAGTAGGAGGGAAAGAAGGAACTCAGTAATCAGCTAATCACAGAGGGTTTTCACTTACGGTATGTTATGTCTCATCTGAGATATGTTTTACATTACAGTCCGAGGGAGTTAGGCCCTCTCTTCTACAGGATCTAGTAGTCACCGATCTCCTGAATACTACTGCAGAGCGAATTGCACAAACACTTTGAGGTGGAAAACCAAAGTTTAGCCATTTGTTTCCCAAATGGCTTCCATCTAAGTGGTCACTCTTCTTCTGTCAGTAGCTCTACTCTCAGATGAGTTTCTGCTTCAGCTTCCTAACCTCTTCCCTTTAGGATTCCCACTCTTTCATTCTTTTCTCTCTCTTTGGTTCCTGTATTTTCATGAGAAAATCCAGGCTTGCAAGTCCTCAACCCCTACTTCTTCTTCCAGATGTTAAATCTGTGGCTTCTTCTGGCTTTTTACCAGCTATTCCTATCAGGTAGAGAATGTATCTGGATCTTTTTAAAAGGGTGTAGGTGCTCTTCCTGAAAAACTAAATGACTAAAATCAAAAACTCTAGCAAAAAAGAGAGACCTATGCAGGCCACCTTGCAAGTTCTAAGGAGGATGATAAGCTGGGAACTTCTCTATTTTAATTATATCACTTGCCCTCATTTGTTTAGCCTCAAAGGGTTAGGATTTAATTGTTATCTGCTCCCATACTATTAAAGGCCAACTGACTGGCTGAAAGGCTGATTGTCAAGAAAACATGAGGAAACCTACTCTGTGTGATTCAGGTATTCGCTGAGCTACTACTCCTTTGCTCAGGAGAAAAAAAAACCTGCAGGAGCGGGTCTGAATGTGTGCCATTCCTATGGTTGCTCTCTGAATATAACGCTCTGCAAAGTGTATGAAATATTGCACACATAGAGCATTAGTATGTGCCAAATTAATAACATGCATTATCTAGCAGCCATGCAGTGATGCTTATTGCACAATTCTAAATCATCCTAATGGGAAGGAAAAATGAGAATCCATCACTTTGTGCCTGATTTCCTCTCCTTGTAATTACAAAAAGTGACTTTTGCAGACGGAATTGTTTTAGATGCACTATGGAAAGCTGGGCATTGCCAAATGACCAGAGCATGTCACTAGCAACCAGGAGCTCCCGAGCTCTGCTCCTGCTGTAAGCTCAGAGGGTGTTGTTTAGCTCGTTAGAAAGCAACTGCACTTCTATCCTAGTATGCCTTACTTGGGGGTTGTGGAGTGACAGCCTGATTTTTACGTCTATTGCACACAATCACACACACATGCACATTACACCTTAATTTTAACCAAGCATTCAGCACTTGTGAATATATAAGAATATAAATGGTGGTACGCACACGTTCAAACTACACTGCTAATCAAGTCTGCCTTCGTCCCCCTAGACACACATGCACGCACACATACTCCCGAACTCTAAAGAAATCTTGCCAAATGGAGAAGAGACTCTTATTTTTTACAGCTGGGTTTCGTTTTTGCAGCTGCCAAGTAGCAAAGAAAAGTAACCCTGGTGATCAGGCCAGAGGATATGTCCTGTGCTTTTGAGCAGGCTTCCTGGAAGGAGAGACAATAGCCGACCACTCGAGCAGCCTAGCCTCGGTGCAGGGCCATCACACTGGGCTGCTGCTAGCTAGCAGGATTCAGCACAGAGCGGATGCTAATAAACTTTTGGCTGTTCATTGTGCTTAGCCAAAAACCTAAAGAAATGTTGCAAAGGTGAATGAGACTTTGGCACAGTAAAGGATCACAAGAATTCATTTTTGGCAGCCTTCAAATGCTGCGCTGCTGGGCCAAAGATGAGCTCCAACAGGGTTTACGCTGCAGACTGTGTTGGCTGTGAAGCTCAGTCGGTAGCCCTGTACACTACACGCTTGCCTTATTTTGCTTCATACCATCATCAGAATCAAGAAGAGAATTTAGCTTGGAGATGATCTCTCGTCCTAGTCAAAGCTAATGTGAGAAAGGTTCAGTTCTCCTTGCCGTTCTCCCGCGAATGCAAAGGTAAGCTGCTGGGGCTTGGAGCAATTACACTCAAAAAGATGGTCACAAAGCTAAGGGCATTGCTGCTATGTTGTTTGGTTCTCGTAGGCTCTTCTGGGCACCCAGCAGAGCTTACTAACAATGTTAACACCTTCTGGACATCAGAGTGATGATGCACAGAAGCTTCGTTTGTCATTTTCAGCCCAAGACTTAAACTCACCTGAGAGGTGGAATTAGGATTGGCACGACTCAGCGTAACGCAGGGAGTACAGCATTATGTATTAACTCAAACACTTTGTTATCTGGCTCAGAAAAGGAAATTCTGCACTAAAAATCCAAATGTATAGTAGCATAATATGCTACTATGATAGTATGATAGTAGCATAATCTGTAAACTCAAGTAAATTAATGCTATTATCTTACATGAAGAAAACATTAATATAGATGACCATTACATAATATAAGTTAACAAAGCTTAATAATATGTTTACTCAATGTAGGCCTGTTTTGACACAATGCAAGCTGTGTAAACTTTCTCCGGAAACTAGGAATTTTTATATTTGTATGAATATATATAGTAACGCTTAATTTTGAAAAAAAAGGTGGTCTTGGAGGTAAGGCATTCAACCTGTAACACAGAAGACTACTGAAATTCTGACAACTTTGAGTAAAATTCAGAGGAGCTCTGCTTCCATGTTTGGAATAATTGAGCTATCATATCTGTGTCTGTCAGATGTCAGTCATGCCTCAGCTGTATGTGGTGAATTACACAATGAGCCAAAAACTATCATCTCGCAGTCTGTGTGTGTTTTATCTACGCAATCTGCATCAGAACGAGGAGTGTATCCTGCAGTGTGTTTGCACAGCTTCTAATACCACAAGGTCCAGACCTCGATTGTGGTCACCAAGCACAATGTGCTCTTTTGTGTAATTGAGGGACTTGAACTTCTTATTCTTTAACTTTTTATTCCAAATCAAAGAGGAGAACAAAACAATCACAGAAAAATTAAGACTGTCCTGTATTGTCCTATGGGCAACTCATTTTCTGTAAAAATCTACTGCTAGAACAAAGTTTGATAGTGCCCATAGGAGATTTAAAGTGAGAGTAAAATGGAAGAATGTTACATTATAAAAGACAAATAAAAAAGAGAGAAAAAAGAGACAGGAAAAAATCAAGCACAGTGAAAAACAATCTCTGCACTTCATAAAGCCAGCAATGTTCGTTACTGCTTTCCTGTCATACTGAACTTTATGTTGCAAATTTATCTTCAAAGTCTGGAGTCCCTTTTCACAAAAAGCTTGCCTAGTGTCATTCAATATCCGTTACATTCCACCAAACATGGTGCTGAATGATTTTAGTGAGGACTTCAAGGACCATGCTTTTCAAAAAGTAACAAGTTTCCTTCTCCTGCAATCCCAAGTTAACTGACCAATCTAATCTCCATAGTTTTAAATAATAAATAGCCCATAAATGAACGCTTCTTTATCAAAACAATAAACCAAAAGCAATCTTGTTCTTTTTTCTTTTACTTAAGCTGATTAGAAAGTTAGTTCTGTAGTTGATTAAGTTCTGCAGAAATTGGGCTTGTGATGAATCATTAAACAAAGACATTTTTTTGCACAGCAATAAAGCCTCAAATGATTAATTAAGGGCACAATGCCAAAACAAGTGTCTTTGTTTAAAACGCAGTGGACAAGACAGGCTTGGGAAAGTTGATGTCTTAAGTAGACGCCACAACATGTTTTTAATTATGTTCAGGAAGAAGAACAAGAATGGGAATTGCCAACTGTTTGGAAAGATAATTTTTTTTTTAGAAGAAAGATTAGAATAAAAAAAACAAACAGAGCATTATTGATTTAACACAAATGCCATTTGTTGGGCCTTTTGTAATTTCCTTATTAGTGTCATCATTCTGGAGTTCATATGCTCCCTTCTGTTATAGCATTTGGCACACATTCAGCTCCCAGCAATATGATACAGTAAACATTCAGTGACTGCTCATATTAAAATGTTTTATTTGTTGTAACTGTACCAATGATCAGGCAGTGCAAGCCCTAAATTATCCCAACTGTTTCACAAGCTAATTTGAAGGGAGCGAGCTAGTGGCCTTCTCTGCAAGGCACACGCGGGCACACGCGCGCACACACGCGCAGACGCCAACGAGCGCGGAGCTGTGCTGTCAGTCGGAAAGAAAACAAAAAGTTCATGCAACATCAGCTTTCCACAGTTTCTTGTCAAGCGTGTTCAGATTGTTCAACTAAAACAGACATAAGCTTGAATCAGTGCCTCTTAGCCGTGACAGATTTTGTTACATCACCAGCTTTGGAGTATTTGTGTTTACAATGCAGGGGAGACCCCAAATATTTCTGCAGGCTCGATTTGATAAAGCCTTTTGGTGCAAGTTTTATGCAAGAAGCTATTGCAAACTTATCCTAAAATCACCGAACACTGATCCTGCTTTCAAATGTGGAAAATCATTTTGGATGCTTCAGTAGAGAGCAGAAAGCTTAAGGAGCTTGGAAGGATTTTTAGCGGGTGGACAAGCAGCCTTGTACAAATATCAGGTTTCTCCTGGTAAGAAAACAAAGAAAATAATAGGAATCAGAATGGAAGAATATCAGCCACAGGGATTTACATGTATAAGGCCTGATGCAAGGAGCACTGTCCTGAAAAACCTGGTGCTTGCAGTTGCCTTCTCACTTGGTGTGTGCCCGGTTGCTGCCAGAGTACATGCAACCAAGGCAAGGCTAGCTGTAGTCCAAAGCATGCCATACATAAAGCCTTTTTCCCCACTGAGCAATGTCAAACACGCTGGGAGCCTTTACTAATGGGGAGCTCCTTTATTTCTTAAGAGGCTCGTTCTAGCCTTGATCTTTATGCAGACCTCCCAGTGCCCTCAGCAGGCGACTGCTGTGGATCAAGGGTAGTGCGCGACCTCAATGTTGTAGCGTGCATCCCTGGATCATAATTAAAAAAGTAATTTGGCCCTCTCCACAGAACGGGCTTTGACACTTCTGGAGTAGATGTGTGACCTTACAGGCCTCTTCATCTCTCATTTGTCCCACTTGAAATGGCACATATGTAAGCATGTAATCAGTCTGTAATTACATGGCCAACATGTTGAAATGCAGGCTGTTCCCCATCGTTTCTATGAGCAGATTTACATATTAGCACTTACTATTAACACCTACTAGCCTTAATGAGACATGCCATGAAAGTCTTCTACATGTGTGAATAGGAGAACTGACCTCAATTCTCTTTTTAGTCCTTACGCTTTGATAGTGATCCAAGAGGAAAAATTAACAGTTAATTATTTCCACTGAATATACCATGTATTTATCTGTAGGTATATGATATACGGAAGGTTTTTTACATGAATTTCTTTAAAAAACAGTTAGGGGTATAGCTGATGAGGGATGGAAGAGGCTGGGCTGTGCATCTGTCATTTTTCCACCCTGAGTTGCTGGGGAATGCGGTGGGCTATGAGGTGATGTAGCTCAGGACAGAGGCCAAATACCAAATCTGCCACCTAATCTCCCTCTAAGGCCTGGGCCCACCGTGGGTATCCAGTCGGTGCTCAGGGCATCAGAGTAAACACAATAGCTAATCAGATGCAGCAAGTTGTCAGAGCTACATGGATGCTATAAAACTTATAAGGATCCCCTTAGGCAGTAATAATGGCTGTGTGTGTAAACTCTATACATAGTAAAGCAGAATAGATCCTAATGGGCTTCAGTAAAAGCAAAGAAAACATATGTGGCACTTACAGCAAAAAAGAGGGCGTGTGTACAAATAAACTAAAATTTCATCTCAGTTCTCTGATATTCTGCCAGGATCTACCTGGTGCAAAGGTGGCAGGTCCAAAAAGAGCTTTCCATAAAAGCAGTTGATCAAAAGCATAACGTTCTAAATGCTACTAATGTTAGAAAATGGTGGATTGAAGGAACAAAAGAATCAGGACTTAACTGAATGTATTTACTAATTTCTGTTGCTTTAACTTATTTTGCAAAGATGATTTAATTAAACATTTTAAATGTGTATCATAAAAAAAAATTCTGCATGATTATTTTGATTAAGTTTTACAAAAAATAATAATACTAAATTCCTGACTCCCATATTTAAAGTAAGAAAAATATTACGGTTAAATAACATTAGAAAAAGTGGTTTTTGATGAATTTGAAATATGGGACTAAAGTAGTCTCAGGGAATAGTATCCTTAATGTGTGACACCAAAATCCAGCTCACATTGCTTGTAGGAGGGAAAAAAGAGTTTCAGCAGTCCCCAGCAGTCTTTAGAGCTCATCCTGATGCTGAGAATGCACCAGCCTGGGGGAAAGAGATGGATTCGATCGTAAGTGAAACCCAGAGAACAAAAGGTCTAGTCTAAAGCCAAGTAAGCATAAAGAAAGGATCCTGCTGGGTGCTGAGTCCCAGAAGCGCCTGCTGACTTCAGTGCAAACCAGAGGGGAGCCTGGTTCTAGCAATCTCCACTGACTTCAGTGGGAGCAGCCAGTCGTCTGCACCTCCAAGCTGTGCCGTATAACGTACATGCCGGTCTTTGAAGTCCAAATATTCTTTCTGGCTGTTTCTTTCAGTGCATATCCATCAAACACATCTTTTAAAGCTGATTGATATTAGCTATATTCGCTCCACATCAGTCCCTAACTGTGGTCAGAAGAGAACACTGGGAACCATTTGGTTCCCACGTAAAAGAGGTGGGATGCCTTGAAGGCTGAGCCTTACTTAAGGCAGGAGGCAGGAGGCTTTTACCGGTTTTCATGTATACCTGAGCAAGCCCTACTTACTCTTTCATTCAGTTCTTAAAAACAGAAAAGTTTCCACTGTGCTTTTTATAGAGTCAGTTAACCCAGCAGTTTTAGTCTGCTGTGGCCTTATATGAACTCCAGCAAATGAACCACAATAAGCTCTCTTCCTCCTCCCTGTTTCACTACAGAAAACTATTCGCCTTTCTTAAACTGAAGTCTGAAAAATAAGTGTGCCAGCAGGTTAGAAGCCTATT